CGGCTGCTGGAGGACACCAAGCACCAGCCCAAGGGGAATTTGGAGCTGATCCTCACCCAGTCGGTGGAGAGTACGTTCCTTTTTACCGGCGTTTGTTGTCCTGCGGCAGAGTTGGGCGCCCGTCGCGACCGTTAATTTGGTTTCTGTCCCGGTTTGCCCTCACCCGCGTAGGGGAGAGGCAGGATCCCCTCGTTCGGTCCCATTTCCAGGGATTCATCCCTCGGGCTGTGGGATAACTTAGGGTTGCAGAGCCCCAAACCAAATAATTTTGTGGTATTTGGGGTTTGTTGGTTTGTTTTTTCTTTTTCAAATCTTCTTCAGATGGAACCTCCGAGCTGCTGCCTGCGGGGCTGGCGGGAGGGCCGAGCAGTGCGTCTCCAGCCTCGCTAACGTCACCTCTCGCCCCTCTCCCCGCAGATTTGGGGAACCGGGGAGACCTGGTCAGCGTGAAAAAACATGTGGGCCGTAACAAGCTGCTGCCGCAGGGACTGGCTGTCTACGCCTCGCCAGAGAACAAGAAGATGTTTGAGGAGGAGAAGAAGGTGAGTCGGCACGAAGGGGCTGCTCCCAGCCCGGCTGGAGCATTTTTATCCTGTCCGCACTTGGAAATCAGGACTCAAAGGGTCGTTTTCTCTGTGGGATCGTCTCCATCTCCCTCCACCCGCCTGTTTGTGGTTTCCTGGGGAGAGATCTGCTGATTGCCGTAGAAATAGGGTTGTGGGATCTCGCTGAGCTGCACGTTGGAGCCGTCGGTGTTACCTGAATGGTCTCGGCTTCATTCAAGCGCCATGCCATTTCGATAATAATGAGCTTAACGAACACCTGAGCCCTCCATCCCCGCCCCGCTCGTTAATAAATTCCTTTGCAGAGCGCCGAAGGGTTTGTGATGGTGGGAGAACCCTTCGGGCCTCTGCAGAGGCGCCTTTCCCACGGCAGCATGCCACGGGCGCGCGGCGGTGCCGAACCTGCCTGTCATTGCTTCTCCTCCATCCTCTGTCCCTGACAGTTGCGCCAGGAAGGGAAGCTGGAGATGCTCCAAACCCAGAGCGGGGAGAAGGTGAGCGGAGGGGCAGCGGCGAGTCTAGAGTTGTTCCAGAGAAATCCGTGAGTCCTGGAAAGCGCAAAGCCTTGGCCGGGCGCCAGGATGCTTCTCCCTCCGGCTGCCGCCGGAGCAGGCAGCTGCCTGAGTGCGTGTGTGTGTGTGTGTGTGTGTGTGTTGTGCACTCCCCGGTGCTGGGCTGAGGGCCGGGGCACCCCCGTGCCCCCCTCCGCTCCCCGACGCCTTCCTCCCCGCCGTTACAGACCATCAAGTTCCTCAAGAGCTGCCGCCTCGAGGTGGGCATGAAAAACAACGTCAAGTGGGAGCTGAACAACGAAATCGTGGCTCGGCACTTCCTCAAAAACGTGAGTGGTTG